ATCCTCGACCGCTGCTCCACCATCCTGGCGCAGGGCCAGGAGCTGCCCCTGGACGAGGAGATGAGAGACGCCTTCCAGAACGCCTACCTCGAGCTGGGCGGGCTGGGGGAGCGAGTGCTGGGTGAGGGCACCCGGGCACTGGGGGGGAAGGGCCGGGGGGCCACATGGGGGGAGACTATGAACGAGCGAACACCGTGTGTGTGTGTGCACGGGGGGTTGCGAGCACCAACAGGGCAGGGATGATTGTGCACGGTGGGGGGGTGGCCTGGCCGCGGCTCACGCTGGTGCTCTCGGCTCTCCCAGGCTTCTGCCACCTCAACCTGCCCCAAGACAAGTTTCCCCGGGGGTTCAAGTTTGACGCGGACGAGGTCAACTTCCCCACCACCGGCCTGTGCTTCGTGGGGCTCATGTCCATGATCGACCCGCCCCGGGCGGCTGTGCCGGATGCGGTGGGCAAGTGCCGGAGCGCAGGGATTAAGGTAAGGCCGTTAGGCAGAGATCTCACCGCCCAGTCAGGCGAGCCCATACTCCAGGCTGGGGGCAGAGCGTAGGTGGGGCCGTGCGGACAGCCAGCTCTGCTCGCTGCCTCGCTGGATACAAAGCCAGGGACCCTGTGTGAAACCCAGCAGGCATGATGCCTTGGCCCAGACACTGCGTTGTCAGGAGCAGAATCCAGGAGTCCTGGCTCCTACTTTAACCACTAGATCACACTCCCTGCTGCATCTAGGAGTCCTGACTCCCAGCCACCCTGCTCTAACCACTCCTCCCAGTGCTGGCTTAAACCACTAGACCTCACTCCCCGCTATGTTTAGGAGTCCTGACTTCCAGCCACCATCCCCAGTCTAAAAACTAGACCTCGCTTCTCTCCCAGAGCCGGGTACAGAACCCAGGAGTCCTGGCTCCCAGCTGCCCTGCTCTAACCACTAGTCCCTACTCCTCACAGAGCCAGGAACAGAACCCAGGAGTCCTGGCTCCCAGCTGCCCTGCTCTAACCACTAGTCCCTACTCCTCCCAGAGGCAGGAACAGAATCCAGGAGTCCTGGCTCCCAGCTCCATTGCCAGGGCACTGGACTCTGCCCATCAGTGTCCATGCCCTGACTGCTGCCTGGCTCCACCCCCAGGTGATCATGGTGACCGGCGACCACCCCATCACCGCCAAGGCCATCGCCAAGGGCGTGGGCATCATCTCCGAGGGCAACGAGACGGTGGAGGACATCGCGGCCCGGCTCAACATCCCCGTTACCCAGGTCAACCCCAGGTAGGCCGGCCCCAGCTCCCAGGGCCCCCTGGCCAGGCTGTGGGGAGCTGGCCAGCCCTGACGCTGCTCTTGCCCTGCAGGGAAGCCAAGGCCTGTGTGGTGCATGGCTCTGACCTCAAGGACATGACTCCGGAGCAGCTGGACGAGATCCTCAAGAACCACACGGAGATTGTCTTTGCCCGCACCTCCCCCCAGCAGAAGCTCATCATCGTGGAGGGCTGCCAGAGGCAGGTGAGAACCTGCGCCCTGTGGGGGATCCCTGAGCACCCAGCCTGCCCCCTGCTGGCCAGCCTGACCCACACACCTGCCCCTAACTGCCCCACTGGGGAGGCCTAGGCCAGTGCCCTCCAGGCTGCAGGCCCCCAGGGACGGCTGTCAGCCTGGGTCGCTCTGAACAGCTGGCTGTGAGAGGTCCCTGCCCTTCCGAAACCTGCCGCCCTGCCCTGCTTCTAATAGAGCCGGGCACTGTGGGTTAGTGACCCCCAGGGGAATTGCCATGGCTACCACAGCACTCGTGTGTCCATGGGTTGAGCCGCGCCTAAGTGGCGCGAAGGCTCGGTGCCATCCGGGAAGCTCCACTCTCCTCCAGACGGCCGTCGTGCGGTCCAGCTCCTGGCCGGCGAGCTCAGAGCCAGGCCCACTGGGGCCACCTCCTCCCCTTGCGCAGAGCCCCAAGGACATAAAAAGGGGAGTAATTGTTCTAGCCACTAGACCCCACCCCACTCCCAAAGCTGGGGATAGAACCCAGGAGTCCTGCCTCCCAACCGCCCTGTTCTAACCACTAAACTCCACTCCCCATCCAAGCCAGGACTATAACCCAGGAGCCCTGGCTCTCAGCTCCCCACTGCTGTAACCTCTAGACCCCACTCCCCATCCGGAGTAAGAAATAGAACCCAGGAGTCCTGTTCCCTCTAGCCTTTCTTTCACTCTCAATCCATGCAGCCCCCTGTGGCTCAAGGACTCAGTCACCAGCCCCATCTCTTGGGGGAGGGGGGCGGGAGGCAGGAGTCTCCCCCCCCCAGCCCCAAGCCCCAAGCCCTGCGATGTGTGGCAGGGACCGGGTGACAGTCCCAGGGTGAATGCAGTGACCTGTGCCATGTTTGGCCCAAACATCAGTGCTATCCGGGCAGGAGAGACCTGGTCAGGATTGGGGGTGTACGTCCCCTCCAGCCCCACCGCGCCCCCACAGCACGATTGTGCAGTGGAGCCAGTGCCCCTTGTTTAGTCACCCCCGACGCGCCCTCCCCTTGGGGGTCTCCCACCCTGCCCAGCCCCCAGCTGGAGGGTTGGCACTGCCCCCTCCGGGTGCTGATCCTGCCTCTCCCTCCTTAGGGGGCCATCGTGGCCGTGACAGGGGATGGCGTGAACGACTCACCCGCCCTGAAGAAGGCCGACATCGGCATCGCCATGGGCATCGCTGGCTCCGACGTCTCCAAGCAGGCGGCCGACATGATCCTGCTGGACGACAACTTCGCCTCCATCGTGACGGGGGTGGAAGAAGGTGGGTGCCCGGGCTGGTGCGGGGGCGGGGAGGCGGGCAGCGCCCTCCCTCCCTGCTCCCTCAAACTCAGCCAATTTGTGACCCGGACATCAGCCAAGCACCAGGCAGGCACCAGGATCCAGGGCACCCAAGGACGTGGGCCTGGCACTGGTTCACCCAGCCCAGCCCCCGCCCCAGATCAGCCCCCTGCTGCCTTGCCGTGGGGCAGTCCTCCAACCACAGAGCCCTGATGGGTGCCCAAAGCTCCCCGAGCTGGCTGCAGCAAGCTGTGTGCCGACCCGCGCCGGAGTAGACTGGTGCTGCTGGGCTTGGAGCCTGGCCCGGTGCCGCTGTCTCTGGGCCCGGCTGGCACCCGGCAGGCTGAGAGTGGAGGAAGCTGATGTTGCCGCTGCCCTGATTGTGCCAGGCCTTGCCAGAGGCAGCAACACGGCCTTCCCCCCCCCCCGATCTCCCCCCACAGTGCCGCCTTCATCCTCTGTCCACCTCGCCTCTGCCCTGCGACTCTCCTTCTCCCTGTGCTTTCTCCTGCCAGGCCGCCTGATCTTCGATAACCTCAAGAAATCCATCGCCTACACGCTGACCAGCAACATCCCAGAGATCACCCCCTTCCTGCTCTTCATCATCATCAATATCCCGCTGCCCCTGGGCACCGTCACCATCCTCTGCATCGACCTGGGCACCGACATGGTGGGGGGTGGGCGCTGCCTGGCAGGGGAAGGGAGCAGGGGTGTGATGGGAGGGGGAGGGAGGGGGGATGATATTGGAAGTGGGGGAGAATAACAGGAGTTGCCGCACCTCTGCCCTTATCCTTGGCTGCAGCTGCGCCCTGAGGATGCCCCTTCTCTTGCCCATGGCTCGGGGCACTGAGTCCCTCAAGGGCACCAGGGCGAACTGGGTACAGCAGGCTGCCAGGTCCGCTGGAGACCCAAGGGGCCGGGTCAGGGGATTGGGCCCTGCAGGCAGTGAGGCCAACGGCTCCTTCTCCTCCTGGCACAGGGATGGAAGCAGTGAGGATTCAAGCCTGGCTTGGTTTGCGTGGCGTGGTGGGCTTTGCCCTCCCTGGGCTCCGGCCAGCCCCGTTCCCTGCGTCCCAGGCCCCAGCCCTGGGCTGCTGTGGCGGGAAGAGAGTGGTTTGAGCTGGTAGCACCAATCCCAGACTGGCTGCACTACGGTTTGTGCTCAGTGTCATCATGGCATGAAAGTCCCCCAGCACAGCCCTCCCCCCCCAAACCCCCCATTGGGCTGCAGCATGCTGGTGCCACATGGCCACGTAGGGCCTGGCTCTGCTGGGCAAAATCATTCCCCTCCCCCCATGTCTCAGCCTGTCTCAATGGGGGCAACCCAAGCTGAATAACCCATACACTAGATGGATGTGGGGGGGAATGGGCAAGTCAGTCAATGGGCGGAGGGAGGGAGGGAGGGAAAGGCAGGTCAGTGGATGGAGGGGAGGGATGGACAGGCAGGTCAGTGGCGGAGGGAGGGAGGGAAAGGCAGGTCAGTGGATGGA